GAAGAAGAAGAAGAAGAGGAAGAAGAAAAAAAGAAAGGAAGAAAAGCGAAAAAGAATTCGAGTGAAAGTAGCGTTGTAACTCGTAATGCTGATCATAGCATCGCGTAGAAGTTGACTGGGGCTCGCGTAACTTTGCTATTTACGCTCATCGCTGCGGGACATTGTGCCTGCGTTTAAAATTTATCCGTAAATTGTACGGTACGATCGCGACGCCGGCGATCATCCGTCCAACCGACGGAGATCCATTCCCAGTTCCAGTGTGGAGCCAGTGTTACAGTTCCTCCCCTCCCATCCACTCCTCGTTTCCATCTATTTTTTTTTTTATTTTTTTTTGTATCTATTTTCTTTTTTCTTTTTTTAATTTTTTTTATCTCCGCAATGAAACGAACGATGGAATTGGCGGCCGCACACTTGTGTTGCGCACAAAGGTAAACTAAGCGATGAAAGTCCTCCCATAGAAAGCGTAGAAAAGGAAAAAGCGACTTCCCAGCTACGATCAAATTACTTCCGATAGTACGGCAATGGAATTCAATTTCGTTTTCTGTTCCCAATCGGCTTGTTCGACTCGTAATCACCGATATTGTCCTTTGCGGTATTTTTCAAACCGCAAGAACCGCGTTCACCGCCTTCGTCCGATGTTTCCGTGTAAATTCGAGTTTGGATTCCACTCCTGGACCTTTACGTAATCATCGACCGTAACGAGACTCTTTCCCGAATCGGCGAGACAAGTTAAGATTAATTAAGAATATCCTGTCGTTTATAAACACTGATCGGTTAAATCCCATAGAAAATACTAGGGACGAGTGGATTTATTGGAAATTAGAAGAAGAAAGAGATTCTCCGAAAATGGAAAATGGAAAATATTTCGAAAAGTGAAACGATCGTACGAGCGTACAATTTTAATCATCGCACAATTATTAAGAGCGGCGATTCATTTCGATCGCTATCTCCACCAGATATTGTATCCGTGTTATACATTTATCGCGCTCCAATGAAACTGCAACTTCCCCTTCGATGAATAGAAACGTTGGTCGTAGCAATAGCACGCGCGCGCCGCGATTTTAATCGAAGGGGAACGGGAACGAGATCTCTCCCCTTTAAACGTATTATCTTTTCGATACTTGTACTACACGCTGTTCGATCAACGGCCATACTCGGCCTCGTGCTCGTTCGCACCTGCGAATCGTTCCAATCGGCTCGGATAACACGCGAACAAAGTGTGCAGCCCCGGCTCTTTCCAACTCTGCTCTGAAATTGCCTGCCAATTTTTCTCTCCCGGCCGAGAGAGAGAGAGAGACTGGAAAATCGAGGCGCAAAAAGCGTTACGAAGCGGCCAACGCGCCGAGATACGCTTTTGCTCCTTTTCCACGCTACGTACAATGCTCCATCCTTTGTCATCCACCATTGCGCGATGGACTCCTCTCGGCGCAACCGATTATCGCGCACGCTGTATTCGTCCGATCCGTGAATGCTACTATTGCGAATCGGCGCGTTTTCTTTCGCGCGTGGAGAATTTTTTCCACGATCCAAGACATGGCCAGCACGTGTTGCAACGGTCGCAAAGAGGTTGAAAGTGTATTGTACGCAGCCGCCTCGAGCCGATTTTACGCGAATTTTACTCGAATCGTTTCGCTTCCAACGATTATTCCTCGAAAAAGGAAAAGAGTGTAAACGAAGAAATATTATAAAATATCATAGAAATTTTTTCGTTCGACGATACCGTTACTGAGATTAACTTTGGTTTCAAGTCGAGCATTAAACAGATATACGACGGAAATAGAGGCGATTTTTTCGTCCAAGATTCGATCGAAACGACGATTTGCAACGATTTTCGACCATCTCACGCGTTCTCTCGAATTACTTAGCTACGTATGCGAACGAGGATTTTAGTTATTCATCGCAACACCCTCATCGATGAAGACGACAACGGCAACAAATGATAACACGTGCCTGAGTCTCGATGCTCGACCGAGTCAAAATATTCGCAATAAAACGAGCATAACTTTATGAGCCTTCCCTCGTCTCTCTCTCTCTCTCTCTCTCTCCCTCTCTTCCTCTCTCTCTCGCTCGCTCGCGTCCTGTTGCGGATCGGGCACGATGGTTCGCGTGCCGATTGGCATTCAGCTCGTCTCGCCGCGGCAAAATGCGTTCGTACATGTATACGTGGATCCAGGCGCACGTAACGCAGCCAACATGCGTCGACGTAACACACCACACGCGTACACGTATATATGCGAACGCGTCCAGGCATCGACACACGGGGGCCCCGGCTCGATTGAACGGCGGCGGCGGCGGCGGCAGGTATGCGTCGCGACGCGGCGCGACACGACGTGCGAGGAACCCGACGGTACCGTTATGCGAACACCGTCCACAGAATCTTGTATAGACCGAGGAACGGAACACGCTGTGGATCCTGGTCGGACGAGTATCGTATTTGACGAACTTTCCCTTCTTTTCAGGGGAAAGGGATCAAAGAGCTCCTCCTCCTCTTCTTCTTCTTCTTCTTCTTCTTCTTCTTCGTCATTTAGTTTAATTGCTCCCTTTTCGGCCGTTTAAGATGCATCCTACACGATGCTGAAGTTTTTGCAGATTAAGATTAAAATTAACTTTTGTGGTTTTTGAAGTTAAGTTGACGATCGGTTTCGCGCTTTCTATCGGTCGCGCGCGAGCAATTAATAGGAGAGGAGAATATAGAACAGGAACAAAATTCTTCGATTCGTTCAACGATCTCGTATGCCAACTGTCGATACCTGTTCTCCAATGGTTTCGCGAAACACGTGCATTCGTCGTCCATTATAATGCAGATCGGAGAAGGAAAAGAAAGGGGAGGGGAAGAAAAAAAAAAATTTCAAATATTTAGGTCTGTTGGGAGAAGGGAGGATCACGTTTCTTTTTTAATGGTAACCTGCACGTGAATCCTATTAACATAAATGAAAGGGTTATGCTCCGCATTCCGTAGCGAATGGGGATTGACCTTCGTCAGGATAACGTGACCTTGATACCTTCTATAAGAAATATCGATATATATACGTATATATTTGTGGTAAGGGTAGCCACGTTCTCCTCACAAGTGAAAGGGCTACGAGATCGCCTGTACCGCGATTCTTACCGCCATTTCCAGAGTTTCGATCAACATTGGAAGAATCGGATTAACTGGATCAGAGAGGCCGATAATTTCCAGGAAAACCGTGCCCGTTTAAAGGGGAATATTTTTGTAAATGAAAATTTATGCAACCGCTGGCCGAGACTGAAGAGAGAGAAAGAGAAAGAGAGGGGTCTGTTAAAGATAGATGCAGATGCACAACGGAGGAATTAATGGCGGCTCCTCTGTATCAATTACACGCGGTATAATATACCAGGAAACGTCGAACAATTATTGTTGTCTGGCCCACATATTGCACCGAGCGGCCTGCAACATCGTCTGGCCGTCCACTTGCCTTCATTGCACTTGTCGAAGGTTCGCAATTTTTGTCTCGCGTCTCTCGTCTAACGGGAACGAACGTGTTCCCTCACTTTCTCCATTTCGCCCATGTATCTTTTACAATTATTATTTTTTCGAGGAATAACGGAACTAAATGGAAAAATTGCAAATCGCCTCGACGAGTACGACACCGAGCAATATTTCATTCTAAAATCTGTGCCGATCGACGAGATTTCCATGCACGGAGGAGGACGGCTTAACCATCGGCTAGCATCGGTACCAGAGGCCGACCACTGTAGAAGGGCGAAGGAAATATTCGTGTCCCCTATTTAGATTAGTTGAGTAGACGTCTCTACAATTAATTTGTTTATCGATAGGAACGACATCGTAGACCTAGACGAACGTTCATTGGAGCGAGCATGAAAACGATTAAGCACACGCGGCAGAAACAATTATGTCTGCGCATCAAACATCGACGCGTCCACCACCACCACCATCACCTATTTTTAAGCTCGCGAAAATACTTTGGATAACGGTTTTACGGTTTTATCTCTACCACAACCACTTTCCATCTCTCGCCGCGTGTGTTTTGCAACACGTTGCGTATGTTTCGCAAGCTTACGAACCAGCTTATCATCGCTGCAATACTCTAATTTAAACCGATTGCCGATAATTTAGTCGGTCATCGAAGATCCCGTTTTTTCCTCCGCCCGAAGAAAAAGAAGAAGAAGAAGAAGAAGAAGAAGAAGAA